TTCAAGAGATTTAATGAAATTGATTCGTCTATTAAATTATCATGTGAGGAAGAAAAGAGAGGTAGAATAGCCTTTCTAGATGTTCTACTTACAAGGAGAATGGATGGGTCTCTAGAAAGAAACCTAAGCAAGAAAACTACTTGGACTAGACAATTTACAGATTTTCTTAGTTTTGTCCCTCTATAATAATAAAAGAAACCTGATTAAGACACCTCGTCATTGAATCAAGACTATATACTCGTTAGATGAGTCTGAAAAAGGGCATCGCGTACTTCTCTAAAAGAAAATAGATACCCGGAGAAACGTATAGGTAAACATTTGGAAGTGAAAAAAACAATGAGGTGGGTCTAACTGTGAGCAAAAGGTCTCTGTATATACGCTTAAATTTAGAGGCGATGGATCCAGCGAAATGGTAATACTGAAGTTGCATAGAGTAATCCAAAGAGTCTTTAACGCTAGTAAACTGCAATTAGTGTTTTCCACATGTCCATTGGTCACTCAGAGATTGAAAGATAAATTACTTAGTCTTATATCTTGTGGTCGAGTGGATGCCTAGTTAATGTGTGACTTGATGAGACCGCCAATCAAGGAGCAGCGACTTATCGATTGAAACAGTGACACACGAAACCGTACGAGCAGTCTGGAGCGCCAACCGGTCCTGCTTCCGCCTAGCCCAGACAGTTATGTCCAAAACATCAATAACAGCCTCGGCAATATGAATCATTATTCACAAACATACTGGGTTTATATACCAACCAAACAGACCACATCATACCATAAAATAGAAAATAACATTTGTACAATATTTAGCCAAATGTGGCTGTGAATAGGGAGAAGGTAATCAGTAAACTGATGATAACTCAATAATCGAATAATAATAATTCAAAGGTCAAAATAAAGCTAATGATAAGAGGAACACGAATATGATTAGGTTAGTTACTTAACAATTATACAATAGGAAATATACATATTACGTTGGTCCACAAATAGTCCTCAAAAGTTACTATTCACAATTCTCTTCGGGATACAACACTTAGACTAATCAACTTCTGTATCTATCAATTCAAATGCTCTTGTGGAGCAATTTATATTCACATGGGTTCTATAAATTTGTATTTTCGTGCTCGCGAGCACCTTCAAGTGTGGTTAAGCAAAGGTATAGCTAAAACTGTCAACAGCTTGATTTTAGCTTATTTAGTGCAAACATGCCATACAGCCAATATGGAGCAATCATTTACAATAATATAACATGCTAACAGCAATCTAAATCAATCAGACTATGAACCCTTCAAACGGTTGAAACAATAGCTATTCAGATTAAAAAAAACCCGCTCATTTTACCTTGGCTAACTTCTAGTCTAATTAATTAATAATCATTTTTATCTGGTGACATCTGATTAATATTCATACAACCTTCCTCTATTCATTTTCATAGCTTAAACTATTCTTAATCACACATATTATTATCATTATCTCTACTGTCATCATTGCTATTATAACACTTGAAAACGCTTTAAAAAATTTATTCAATATCCACCCCTATTTACTAATTCTTACCTTATTCATATGATTTTTTGAATATCACCTCATGTTAACCATATTTATTCTGATCATTTATCTCACAACTTCATTTAACTTATGAAAGTATTCTAATCAACACCGCATATCACTAATCTCAACATTAAGGATTTTATTTTAATTTTTATTACAAACAATCCTAAATTCACATGCCATAGTTTTAAATGTTGTACACTGCCTTAAACTTAACCAATTCTATGGATTATTAATTTGGATATGTAATTGTAAAACCTGAAGGGAATTTATGGAAAAGAATATTCTTCATTCATATAATTGTGTATTGATATGATGGGAATTTCTCAGCGATTTAAATTTTTCATAGTTGAAAGCGTGAGTCAATTGAAGCTAGACCACTCACGCTTTCAACTATGAAAAATACTAAATCTCCACAAAACCCCTTCTGATGATTTAAATTTTGTTTTAGTTTTCAAGAAAACAACAACAACAACACTGAAATAGCCTGGTGAAATCTATCATTATACCTTAAAATGACTTGATTTAAATGATCTTATTTCTTTTGCTCAAAAAGGAATAAGAACAACAAAGGAAATGAAAAATAAGGTGCAACAAATCTTGACCTGAACATTTTAAAGGCATCTAAACAAGAAAGTCGTAATTACATTCACATATGATACAAAGTGATAATATACTAGGTAGGTAGTACATCATAATATACTGATTAATGATTCACATTAAAATTGATGGAAGATGAAAGAATAACATTTAGGCCTTTTATTATTTTATTTTAATACTATAAATTAATTAGAGGTGAAAGAATTCCAAATAATATTTAGTCCATCACAAAATCTGACAAACCCTTGATTGATAAACAAGTGTTTCATTAACGTGTCCCTGATGAAGAAACATTTTCAAAAAAAGCGAAACATTCTGATTTATACTCTAAGGTTTACAACAGTTATTTCCTTAGTTAATGTTAACAATTTATTTGTAACGCCTAATTATTGAATTATCTCTTCACCTTGGAAGAAATATCAGTTTAATAAAGTGGTTTGTGGAGATTCGATTACTGTCATTATTGACCCTACTTTCTACTATTCACTTTTATAGAAGAGCTTCAAAGCGCAATCTTGAAAACAAGATGTGTAATCGAATACTTTGATCAAATAGTGGTTAATCTCTCGGTTACGGTGGCTTAAAGCACGTTTTGTACATGAAATTGAGTTTCATAAACCATTTATAATCAATATTAGGCATGAAATAATGATCAAATTTTGAGTACATTTTTGTGAAAAAAAAATTGCAGTGTGTGCAAGAAATATTAGTCAAAACACGATGTCTGAGTCAAGCATCAAAAAACGTACAAAAGCGCATAAAAATGACCGCCTAGAAACAGCGATTTAAAATGTGAATCTATTATATCACAAAGGCTGTTTAGCTGTTCGCGAATAAAGTAAGACAGGGGAGTATCATTCGCTTTTGACTACTTCTATCATGACACAATTTACGATTAACGAGCCTGAAGACGATGTACGAATCACATCATGAAGTTATAGAAGCACACCATAATAAGTAGACCTAAAAATTCATATAACTAACTAATCAGTAATAGTATTCTTTTAAGATTTATCGCAAACAGTTCTTCACTGAAAAGTTATAAATTCAAACTTTAATTGTCAAAATGAGATCTTAATGGCGTCTAAGATAGGACAGATCGGTAGATAAAGTTCTAGTTTTCTTCAAACAAAATAGGATTTTATTTTCTAGGAATACCACCAGCAGTCATACATATCTAGACAAGACTCTGCTGATGAAGCTACTTCAAATCTTAATAAATTTTGGAGATGGGAAATGAATGTCATACTTACGTATACTTATAACAAATATTCGATGCTATTTGAATAACCTATTTGTAATCACAGGGTGGAAGACTAGCATTCTTATGCTTAAGGTAAGAAGTTCATCTTTGGGTAACAGAAAACTATATATAATAAACTTTCTTTGGAGTTGTTTCAACAACGACAGGTAAAATTTTAATGAGGGAAGCAAGATTTGACAACCCTGCGTACTTACGGTTCTGAGCTATTTGAATCACTCTGTCCTTCAAATCGCCATACAAATGTACTTATCTTTCTATCTCTTTAACACAGTTTTTGAGCCGTTGGAAAACAATAATAATTAAAACTGATAAACCTTTGTAGAACTTCCAAGGTTTATACTATTTTGATTAGTCTTTGTCAGAATGTCTAAAAATATATCCCACCTACATCAATCAACTTTACCATATATACAGTAAGTAAACTTGTAAGTTTATTAACGCTTTCTTAACCCCCCTCCTTTTGTCAGTCTATAACTGTGTGAAACAAATCTGTCACTCATATGGTGTCCTTATTCATCCATCATGTTAATTAAAACCATGTGATCCATCAAAATATAATATACACGTTGATATATACCAGGTGAGTTGCGAGCTAACTTAGCCATAACGCTACGAAGGTACATGTACTTGGAGGGAGGTCAGAAGGCTTGACTTGACAGTCTACACACAAGATCGCAATACAGAAACAAACCTGGGAAACTAGGTTAGTCAGTTAGACATGAGCAAGCCAGGACCTAGTTTGGCTTCCCCTAGCTTTCTTTCGACTTAAACTTACATCTGTAAATATATATTGTGGAGGTAGATGGTGGTCGGGAATACTATATATATCTATAATACAATGCTATGGAGTATACTCGTCCTCTGATTGGTAGACGAAAATTTTGTCCACGTCACTGATGGCTTAATTCGTCGAAAACAAAAAACGTTTCCGGAATTCCTGTTGAGATTTCGTTATACATTAACCCAGAAGGACTGTCAAGGCTTCTAAAACAAGTGGAGTGTTCAACGAAATCAACTACTTCATTCCACGCCATTATTGTGGAACGACAGATTTCCTAGTTTATTCTATTGTAAATGGGTTCAATAGCAAAACTCAGAGAAAATGAGTTTTTAGGTATCATTACCAAGTTTTGATTTGATAATTTTGAATAAATTGAGCATTGGGTAGATTGCTATAAATATATTAATTTATTTATCACTCAGAAATAGTTATAAATACTGAAATAAAAGCTGTAAATTTAAAACACACTCCTAAAGCACAATTTATATCTGCAAGTCAGTAGTAAAAAACCATAGTGTATGTCATAATACATGTATATTTTGTATTTAAAAATATTTATTGTTTAATTTCATTTATTGAGTAAAAAATAAGTAAATCAAATTTTCAGAAATATGCTAAATGTGTTGAGATTGAAAGAAAGAATCATCTGTAGTGGGTTAATCCGCCAAAGGCTAGAGAAACGAATTGGACAAGCAGTGGAGTTTACAGATAGAAATTATCAGAAACTGACGAGAACAGGAAACGACAAAACACATGACAATAGTTGAAGGATAAGTGCTGAGGTTACTCATTTCGTTTATTCTCTCAATTTAGTAACAAATGGCCGCATTTACGAGTCCATTCTACAGCTAGAAACAAAGCTCCTGTTGCTGGGAATGTTCTCAATATTGTTGGGCCCAGACCACGATAAAGTGAACGGATTCCTGTAAGATAGGAACGGATTGGTATGCAATAGAACTAATTATATTACACGTGAAAATAATAATTTCATATTTTTAGACAAGCAACTTGAAGTAATTAATGTGAATCATTCACAAAAGTAGAAGATAGAAAAGAACTATGTATACCTTGACTGAACTAAGTGTGAAGGGGGTAAAATAACACTCAAAACTTTTAATTGCTTCGATTGCTGCCCAGAATAAGCCATTTCTCATTTTAAAGGTCTGTGTTTCATTAAGTTACCTATGTACCTGAGGGTCTCTTTCCAGACTTTTAAGGCAATAAGAGTTTAAGATAGTAAAATAAAAACCGAATCGAATAGCAACCTGATAATTTATGTACACTGGCAAACAACTTATTTGAAGTTTTCACTGATCATTATCTACTGAATGAGGGAAGTAATAGAGATTTTTAAACTTAATTCAAATAGTTTTCAAACCCACAACTATAGTACATAATATGTAAAGGTATAATACAGGTCAGTTTTTAGAATGGGTGAATAGGATGAGTAGTTATAAATATATGCAATACCTTGTGATGTGAACAGGCATCTAGGTGTAGAAACTAACACTATCTACATGGTTGCTGTACGCAAAGAATATGGGATAATAAAACAACAGGCAGTCACCTTCATTTCTCTTGATGTCTAACAGGACGGAAAACATGCTTCTTTGTTTACTGACTTTGTTTCCATGAGCGATTGAGGATGACGTGACAGTATGGTGTCCAATTTGCATGCGAGATTTAACAACATCGAATGGAAATATCGCCACCCACAGTGAAACTCCACCTATTCCACCAGCGATAACAGTTTTAATGGGACCCAAGTCTTCTTTACGACCATTAGTAGGAGTCATCACTGTTCTACATGCTTCGTACCCACCAAAGAAGAAGAAATAACCAGGCATTTCCCTGGCAAATGTAGCACCTAAACCACAAGTAAATCCTTTGAAACCTTTTTCCTTGTATATTGACTTTGTTACTGCCCATGGACCTCTACAACAAAATTATGGTAGTATAAATGATGATAAATAGGCATAACACAATAGTTTGGTGACGATAACCAACGGGATTAATCAACTTAATTACTTACTCTTGCAGCTGTATAAACTTTAATAGAGGAATAAACGTAGAAAAAATAGTGTGGGTTGTTATATTCTTTAGTGTTTGTCATATGTTGAATCAATTAAATAGATCTGACCTATGATAGGATAACGAAAACAGTTATCAACGCTTTTACTACATGAAGTACGATCATAATTAGTGAAGATAGTACGAATATTTGTTTTTTCAATAGCTAGTTGTATCCGCCAAATGGTTGGATGATACCATCACTCTAATTCTAAGAAAGAAAAGCCACCCGATCGCGAAATTAGCATTTGGTTAAGACATTAAATATCCATATCAGTTAAGTACGTGAAAATGATAAATTAAAAATTATTCATGGAAATAAGAATGAATAAAAAGTTCACGACGGTTTGTTTAATATGAGACCAATAAACAGTTGTATGAGAACGTACGTTCATGATTACTGGCAAGGGAAAATAGGTTACTAAGTATTTCAAAATATGTCAGTACCAGATATTGATCAAGTAAGTTATGAAGCAAAGTTCATTGTCTGAAATTTAGAAGGGTCAATCCAGAAGATGCATAGACTGACCGTAGCCGCTGGTTGAGATTGCTTATCATGAGGAATCAACCCAGCTATATTGGCTGGAACACATGTTCCTTTAGGCCTTACTTTACCAGGTATGTTCATTGCAGAACGGTAAAACTAAAAACGGCAACTTAATACCTCAGGACAAAGTCGTGCTGCTGATTTTGGAGGGATGCAACAATAGAAAAGTTCTCCTCGGACAACCAGCATTATCAGCAGTGCTGCCTGCTCACAACGGAAGGGAGGGTTCAGAATAAATCAACCATATAAATGTTACTCCCCACCTTATCTCACGGATTTCCATCTCCGGGAGTAGGATCCTTTGAAGTAAGGAGCCAACGCATCGAAAACCTCGTATAAAAAGGAAGTGTGCGACTGGCCTCAAACAGTCATCTTTTGAGCTTTGCCGTCACGCTCTCAAGTTTCTGGGGCTGCCACTAATTCAGATTCCTTCTCGGGTCCGTTCAGAAGAAATATCCTCTCACGGTATGGGCGACCGGGAAGTGGAAACCACCTCATGCCTCTATCAGCACTCGAAATAATCTTTTTCACGATCAACAGAGATATCTAAATTAAAGTACATGAAGGGATTTTAAATCTTCAGCAAAATGACTGAAAGCTAAAATCTATTATGGCTGTATTGATTTCATAAACGTAAACAATTTCCTGAAATTCATATCAGTTCACGTTACTGTGAATCAGACGAGTTTCGGCAGCTGAAGTTATCAAACCTCTTGAAAGGATAATTCATGCGCAGTGAGAGCATCTACTACGACAGTCAACTCAAACTACAGTCTACCACAACACGTGATGCTGGATAAAGTGGTATTAGAGTGAAGGTTATGAACAGACACCAAAAACGTCACTGCATTTTAAAGTAATGTATATGGGGCGAACAATATAGGTAGGTAAAGACTCGCTGAATATGGTCCTTTAGGTATTAGTAGCTAAAATCCAGATTGTATGGTTCAAAGTCCATTATAATAGTAGAAATCAGTTGAAATTTCGAATTTCCCTAAAATTCGTAAATTTCCTTTCCAACCCAATCTTCTTATTTACTCCAGCGTCTTGATGTTTCTATTACTTTTTGCTGTCTGCGATTGAAAAGTGACAACTTAAACTTGAAAGCCCGAGTTTAAATAATTCTGTCTGATTCTGAATAAATGATTTTTAATCAGAATCAGGTTAGTTTAGACGAAATAATCCGTTTCCTCTAATAGACTAGGGTGGCTAGTGCACTAGTAGTGCTGGTAGTGCACTACTAAACACCGAGTCGCAGAATCGAATATTACTTAGATTTAGGTGGTCCGATAGTATCACTTACCCACACGAAGTGATATCCGGAGTAGGGTACACAAACCACTAGATTTATTTGACAAGTGGACACAACCCTGTGTAAAATAATAAATAGAAAGCTGTGTTCACATGATAAACTTGGCACAATTTATTTGCCCTTTTTTAAAGGTGGAATTTCATAACTTTATTCTGACGGAATTCGGTCTATAATTTAGTTATTACTATTTAGACAAAGAACAATTATGTGGCATATAAACTGTATCAGACAGAGATGCATGGATAAACTCACAAATTTTTGACATCAACCTTTATATGTCCTAATTCAGTCATTTCTCTCATTGACTGAACTTTGCACTTAACTAATTCGGTTGGGCAAAGAGTTAGACTCGACCAGAAAGCAGCTATACTACCGGCAAGTGCGTGCTGTAGTACTGAGAGATGACTTTTATCCACTCCACAAAGACCAGCTATCAAATGTTCCGATGGCGGAAGAGCACAGAATAACACCGCATTTTCAGCAACATTTGCAACGAGTGACGGAACAGTTCCTGCGTAGAGTCCGCGAGCGATTCCATCCTTCGCAAGTGTGACTCGGAGACATTTCCATGTTGACGGGTGAACTTCCGGGAACGTTTGCATCTTGACTTTAATGGTATCTAATGGTTGTCCAACATAAACTGAAGCAAATCCACCTACGACGAAAATCAATAACGTTAGGCAAACTACCGTTAATCCCAGCAACCAAACCAATCAGGCTATTCTTTACTTGCTCCATGTTAATATAATGACTACGGTAACTAATGTAAAGATCAAAATGTTCGAAGCCAGTTTCAAAAGGGTAGCGCTATAAATCATAAAATTTCCAAGAGAGATATACAAAACTAAATACCTGTTTCCGTGATAACATAATAGATGACGTAAACTATTACGTTATCCGATTTCTAAAGTTTATTCAAGAGACTCGCATTTTATCTCTAAACTACAAGCTTAACAAGGCGGAAACAATGAATAAAGGGTTACATGTAAACCGTGTCTTAGTTTTGTAGGGAATTTAAAGATTTTACGAATACGTTACATGTTTTTAGGGAGCTAGTATAGATATATTGAGTTCTTAGCTCTTGTATCTTGTGTGGGCCACTTGACCCCAGTAATCTTTGTGGGGTTGGTTAAGATAAATCTATTATGTAGTTAGTATTTGTTGTTATCCGCATTTTTTCATTTCCTCTCACAATTTGTACATTTGCCATTATTGACTGCGAAATCGCTGTTTAAAAAGTAGATGATAAAAAATAGTGATGTAGGGGCAGTGAAATAGCACTGAGTCCTAGAGAAATCATCCGGCGGTTGGGTCACTGAATATCGAACAGGTTGTCGATAACTCTTAAAGTCAAGGTCAACAAACGCACATCAGCCAATCATACGCCATGGGCTGGCCCATGCGGTGGTGGTCTCACTAACATCTCTTTACTCATTCTTACAAATGTATTTACGTAATCACGCCCTTTGTGTTTTGAGGTCTTCAAAGCAGGAATAGTACTTTAATACGTCGAATGGGGTAATCCACGTTAGATGCTGACCGCGAGGTGTGACTTCGCAGTTAGCTGGTTCGTTGCGCCGTTCCCGTCTAACTCGAGTAGACCTCCAATCATTCGACACAGATCATCAACGTTGATGGTCCACAGTGAGAAGATACACCACTGTGCATATATACTACTTGTTTTTAATTAACAAGTGTCACGATAACAACACTCTGATATATATGCCGTCTGTATCTGCAGTTCACAAGGATATTCTCGTTGCTTGGTTGCTCTGGATACACAACTCGGATGATGGCAATCATTGTTTTAATCACATACCCTTTGTTATATCTAGAGTGTAGCTGTAAATAATTCCCCAAAATCAATAGCTCATTAAGTGTTCGACATTGGATGCTGACCACGTTGTTTAAGTGGACTTGTTTAGCTGAAGGCTTTCGGTCATGCATCCGTACCAGATCACGTTTCAATACTGCGTGGGACACAGCTCCTACGTTTCATTAGCCAGCTCATAGAAAAGGTCCTCGATATATTGGTAACGAATCAAATATATCTTTCCTGCCTATTCTCGTCCGACTTCTGATTTCTATCTGACTGGTAACAACCGAATTTAGAAGGTGCTACTGGTATCTAGTTGTAAAACTAGAATATCCGTTGCATCATCATTGGTGAACCCGACGTGATCTGGTACACCAAGTCAATATACTGTGAGTCTGTTCCATTTTGGAATATTATTATTCATTGTTGTTCTTTATTTGAATTTTATATATTGTGATATACTTTTTTCGCGAATTATTTTTTCCGGATATATTTTAATTAGACATTTTCGTTAGCTATATTACTATGACGGAACACTCACCCAAGGTTTTTAAGTTAAAGTCTATTCCCCCTATTTCGATTCAGTTAACGCCATTTTGGCCCGACAATATCGAGTCCTGGTTCTGCTATGCAGAAGCCGATTTTTGCATGCACGGAATCACGGACTCGCGCACACGTTTCCTCGCGGTAGTTAAGGCGTTACCGCGCGAGTTTAACAGGTACGTAACACCTAGTATGTTCACTAGTGATGTTTCCGAACCTTACGAATCGCTTAAGCTATCGATTTTAAAACGAGGAGACCTAACTGATCGACAACGGTTAGACCAACTCCTTAACAATATCGACTTGCAACATGGTTCTGCGACGGACATGTTGCTTAGAATGAAAGAAGTCATCGGCCAACGAACTTTCGATGATGGCCTATTTAGACAACTTTTCTTGTCTAAACTCCCTCAACAGGTGCAGGCAGTGCTTGTCTCATTTCAAAACAATGCCATAGATGAACTAGCTGCATCTGCCGATCGAATCTTGGAAATCACTAGATCTTCTAAGGCCGAGGTTTTTTCCGTCAAAGAAAAACCCCAATCGACCTCGACTGACATGGCCGAACTATGTCACACGCTCACACGATATCTTAGAGTTCGCAATGACCGTAGTCGGTCAAAAACCCCGCGTAGAAGTGCCTCACGTAAGCGATCTGGCTCTCGACCACGAGAGACAGACAATCCCGACTGGTGCTGGTATCATAACCAGTACGGTAAGTTTTCCAGAAACTGCAGGAAACCTTGCAATTATCCGACCCCGAAATCGAGTGACACGAAAAACAGTTCGGGAAACTTCCCAGCCGGCACGCGTTAACGGCAACCGTAGCCGGCGAACACAGCCGCCTCTTATATGTCACGGATGTGACTACGAAAGTTCGCTACCTCGTCGACACTGGCGCAGAAGTTAGCGTTCTTCCAGCAAATCTCGACGACAGACTTCGCGAGTCTGTTTTAAGTTTACAGGCGGCAAACGGAAAGCCGATCGCTACTTACGGTAAAAGGTACGTCTACCTTAACGTGGGTTTACGTAAACCCATACACTGGATTTTCGTGGTTGCAGATGTCTCTATGCCAATCATTGGTATTGACCTGTTACAACACCACAATCTACTCATCGACACACGCTCACGAAGGTTAATAGACGGAAACACTAAGTTGTCCGTTTGCGTAACTCCTTGTTCTGGTTGCAGGTTATCCCCAGTCACGATTAAGCACGCCATAGACTCCTTGTACCAAGCAGTACTCGACAAATACCCCGGGATATACCAATCGCAATCGAAATTACCTTGTGTAACCAGCAATGTTACACATCACATCTCGACTACAGGACCACCTGTATTTTCGAAAGCCCGAAGACTCGCTCCCGAAAAGCTTAGGTTAGCTAAAAACGAATTCAACCACATGATGGACCTAGGAATAATTCGACCATCGAATAGTCCATGGGCATCCCCATTGCACATGGTCCCTAAAAAGGACAGCAATGATTGGCGGCCAACTGGTGATTATCGGCGTCTGAATGCTATAACCATTCCCGATCGTTACCCGCTGCCTCATATTCACGATTTGACAGCTACCTTGAAAGGTACAACTGTCTTTTCGAAAATCGACTTGGTTAAAGCTTATAACCAAATCCCGATGGCAACTGACGACATTCCTAAAACCGCCATCATCACTCCCTTCGGTCTTTACGAATTTCTACGAATGCCCTTTGGTTTAAGAAACGCGGCTCAAACCTTCCAAAGGTTTATAGACGACGTCTTCCGAGGTCTCAACTTCGTACATGCGTATGTTGATGACTGTCTAATAGCAAGTCCGGACAGAGAATCGCATCTCAAGCATCTGGACATTGTTTTCGATCGACTTCAAAGGCATGGCATTACTGTCAACATTCAGAAATGCCAAATCGGAACTAACTGCTTAGACTTCTTAGGACACACCATTGATGCCCAAGGCATCCGACCCCTTAGGAGCAAAGTGGCGGCCATTCTGGATTACCCAGAACCGACCACGATCAAGCAGTTGCGAACTTTTAACGGACTCGTAAGTTTCTATAGACGGTTCATACCTAAATGCGCATCCCTAATGAAACCGTTGACCGATCAGCTTCGTGGAAATGCGAAATCAATTAGTTTAGACGACACAGCCCGTAAAGCATTTTCCACAGTTAAGGAACACATCGCTAAAGCAACCTTGCTTGCTCATCAGGACAGTCAAGCGCCCATTAGTATCGCCGTAGACGCATCCGACTCAGCAATCGGAGCAGTCTTACAACAATGGGTTAACAACTCGTGGCAACCTTTAGGATTTTTCTCGAGACGGTTGCTAGACGCTGAATCTAGGTACAGCACGTTCAGTAGGGAACTCCTAGCTATGTATTGTGCTGTACGGCATTTTCAACATTCCATCGAAGGAAGAGAATTCACGCTTTTTACCGATCACAAACCTCTTACCTTCTCTTTAAATTCATCTTCAGACAAGTACTCACCGCGAGAGTCTCGACAACTCGACTACATTTCGCAGTTTACTTCAGACATACAACATATTTCTGGAGCAAACAATGTAGTCGCAGACGCCTTGTCTCGAATTAGCTCCTTGAACAGTTCCCAAGGAATCGACCTTCTTAAACTCGCTCAGCTTCAAAAAGAAGACATTGATCTTCAGCATGAGTTATCCTCGACAACTCTTAAACTAAGTATTAGGCAGATGGGAACAGGTAAGGAAACCTTACTCTGTGACACATCTACAGGTAGGGATCGTCCGATTGTACCAAAACACTATCGCCGCAACGTCTTCAATACGTTGCACAATCTTTCTCATCCAGGTGCTCGTGCAACAATCGAACTTATAGCCGAACGCTTTTGTTGGCCTGGCATGAATAAAGACGTGAGGGAGTGGTCACGCTCCTGTGTAAGCTGTCAGAAATCTAAGGTAATCAGACACAACAAATGTCCCTTAGGTTCTTTCAAAACCCCTGACGCTCGTTTCGACCACGTCCATCTAGATTTGGTAGGACCCTTACCCGACTCGAACGGATACTCATATCTCCTAACATGCGTAGACCGTTTTACTCGATGGCCAGAAGCAGTACCGATTAAGGACATTACTGCTGAAACAGTGGCTCGCACTTTCGTCGAACGATGGGTAGCAAATTTCGGCTGCCCTTCAACCATCACTACAGACCGCGGACGCCAGTTCGAATCTGGACTTTTCCGTTGTCTGACCACACTTTTAGGAATCACGCGCTTCCGAACGACCGCCTACCACCCACAAGCAAACGGGTTGGTAGAACGTTTTCATCGACAATTAAAAGCTTCATTATCAGCTTCAAACGTTTCACAGTGGACAGACGCTCTTCCACTCGTCTTGCTAGGTATCCG